ACGCTTGGTAAGGCAGGTAAACTGGCAATACTCCGCAATGAGCACACACACAGTTCCTTGCTAAATACTGATCAAACAGGAAATGAATGCAGAAGCAGAGGGAGCGGTACACAGTCAGTACTCAGGCGAGGGCTCCCTCTGCTGGTGTGGCGTTACAGAAGGGCTGTGCAATTAATCGCATGCGATTGTCGTGCACATCTCGTCAGTAAGTTCACTGACAATTAGGTAAACAATTCAGAATTTAAGTTGTTTTATATTAATATTAATGTATAATGTAATATTATATGTTGCAATTTATTCACACATGTTTTAATTTGTTACACTATTTATTGAAATTAAGCTTAATTTAAATTAAATATTTTCTTTTATTATTGTGATCTTTATTTTTATGATCTTTTTGTACATATATTCCAAGCTTTGATAATATTGAATTATTGCAAATAAAGCAATTTTGAATTTGATATTTAGATGGTGATATTTAGATTCTGGAAATGCAGAATATGATGCAGATCATCAGTACAGATGCCACCATCACTAAACTGGGTACTAAACATGAGGATGCTGCAGGCAGGCAGGATGAGGCGAGGGTTAATTTGTGTTCCTCCCAGAGGAACACGGCTGCTTAAACTCTGTCTGCCTTCTTACCTTCCTCCTCTCCATCATTATAAGTCTACTCCAATCCAGCAGAAGAGTCTGTTTGCTCACACAAGGTCCTTTGTAATCAAGCAAATGGCAGAATCTATGAGCTCACCCTATTCTGAGCATGAAGATGCACTGACAGATGTCTGCTGATCTGAATATTTCTTTTTGATGTGATGTGCGTGCTTGTGTGTTTGTTTGTGTGACTTGATAGGTGGTGCAAGTAAGAAAGAAGAGAAAGTCAAGCATTTGACCACTGCAAGAGGGTCTGCAAGAAAAGGCACACACACTTTGGTAAAAGGTGAGTGTGTAAAAGCAAATACAGCCATCATCCTTATAACCTTTAGCTGTATTGCACAGAGTGACATTAATTTGCTGCACATCCAAAAAATGAGGTTTTTAATGAGAAACTCACAGCAGGGTCACTGATTGGCTATGATCATAAGCAGTGAATAGAGCTCCTTATAATGCACTCGATTTTTATGCCCAGTACTAAAAAAAAAATCCCTTTTTCCAGACACAGAACCAGAAATTGAATTGGTGTTATACTCAATAAACCAGTATGATGAGAAGTGAATTAGCCTATCAGGACAATGATATCGTCAGTTCGGCGAGTGAAGGTGTTGTAAGTACTGTAGCTTTTACAGATAAATCTCAGTGCGGCTCAGCAGTTGTCTGCTAAGCAAGAAGAAAAGGTTTTATGATACAGCCGTCACCTGCAGGGATATATCAACTGGATATTAAGGAGCCTTTTTTCCCTTTAATTCAATTTCAGCCCAGCACCTCTGACATATAATCTTTAATTGAGGATGGATTTATCACTGTTTCTCCAAAAGCACACAATTAAACATTCTGATATGGGCTCTGGACAGTAATGAGGGCATCAGGAATGAGCATAAAGGGAATTATGGTTATGCAACTTCCTGTGACCTCATCAGTCAGGACGCATCTTTGAGTAACATGACGTAGATGATGCGCTTTGAACAAACAGATCTAAATGAGTCTCACGTCTTTCTCTCGGTGTGATTTTGACTCGAGCAGCTTGGGGGTAATGATTTTTATGTGGTTTTTGGAAAATGATTCACAGCGCTGTTGTGTTAGATAATATTTTCCAGAAGTGTTATAAGACAAGATGAAGCCAAAATGCTGAATGTCTCACCTTTTTATATTCCCACTCATGCCTGCAAATAAACATTAGGGGAAAGTGTTACAACATGTTTTGTTTTGTTTTATTTTATTATATTTTATTTTATTTGTAATTTAATTTAATTTTATTTTTTATATTTTATTTTATTTGTAATTTAATTAAATTTAGTTATTTTATTTATTTTTATTTTTTTAGTCTTGGCTCACTTTGTGCCCAAATTTGTAAGTAATTATTTAAAAAGTTTTCTATAAGCATGAACATTTTCAAAGCATGAACAGGTTCAAAAGTCTAAAACAATGTTTTCAATCAGAACAACAGAGAGTTACTCACATACAGGCAGAATTGTTAAAGGTTTGAATGATTTTATTCCTATATAGTGCAGTTATTTGGTCGCTATACTGCAAATGATTTGTCCAACAGAATATTTGATTCGCAGCTAGGCTGGCCTTTGATAGGAGACAGGGTTGTGTCTCTTTGCTCAGGGAGTGCCGATGGAGCCAAGCAGATTTGTTTCAGCTGTTAACACCAATCAGGTCAACACTTTGAATGGATGAGTTTTATTCCCTGAGTGTCCTTGAATGGCAGTAAAACTTTAAAAATGCATTAAAAACAAATTTGTGCGGCACGGGGTTCAAACCAATTGCATGGCTCGCTCTGCTACGGTCCCTGGTGGTGCGTCTGCCAGAATTTCCACTTGCAGCGTTTTTCGCTTCTTTGCAAGGGTGATTTTATTTGTTTCTCCTGTTTGTTTGTTTGTTTATTTTTATTTACTTACAGGGTTAATTTTCTTTTTGTAGATGCTCTATATAGCGACCAATAAAAGAATAAGCCTTTTTCTGTATCCAGAACCGAGATCACATCTGATTACGCATTCATATTGCTGCCGAAGCGTGCAGATTACTCACAGAAGTATTGATTTTCAAGCGGTAGCAGTACTATCTGTCTGCATATTAATATGAAAGTCTTGTCTTTCTCCCCATGTTTAATTTCTTTATATCTTCATAATTGATTAATGTTCTTTTGTGAGGAAGGAATGAATAATTTATAAGCCCAATAGCCTCCGGCTAATGAGAAAATGCTTAATTTCACTGAATGTGTCTGTGTTTTAAGAGCCCCACTGCTGTTGATACTTCAGACGAACACTCTAGCAACCTTCCGGAATAAGAAGCGAGTTGGCATGAGCTGGCAACGGGATAATTACGTCTAATTGGCATAATGGTAATGCAAGATTGAAGAGATCTTGTTGAGAGAAAGCACCTGATTGTTAGCATCTGTTTTACAGATTCGATGAATGCATTTTTAATTGTCTCTACTCCCCGACAGCCTGGCTGGCAGGCTCCCATTGAAAACGTGCCAGCTACAAAATGAAGCAAATTGAATGAACAGCACTTATCGTTAACAAGGAGCGTAATTAAATATGCAGATAGGTGCAATAATATCATTAACCTCGTGGACTACTAGGACTGTGCGTTCCTATTCTCCTCGATTCCGCACGTGCTGATCAAAGTGGCTACGAGTGCTCGCTGGAAATGTGCCAACAAGATGTTTCGCGTTTGTCGCCGCATTAACGTCTGCATGTTAATGAACTCGGGATTTCGCTAATGACTGTATTATGTGCTAAGCCTGATACCCGCACTTCACCGCTGCGAATTATCAAAGCAAAAGTGCGACGTCAAATTCCAGATACATATTTTCCCGTTCAAGTGTCAAGCTGTCAGAACAAATATTTATCTGCACGTGTGCGCTCCTGCATCTGTTTGCCTGGCACTGATGCTGAAGTGGAGAGGTGCCACCTCTGCTAATTACCTCATAATGTGGCATATTGTGATAAGCTACCAGGCGTCAGAGGTGTTTACTCACGGAATCTTGACACCGTGCCAACCGGTGATGACTGGCATCGCCACGTTCCCCTCCTCCACCTGCGCTGCGCGTGGGGACACAGATGCCCTCTTAAGTGGCAGAGAAAAACCTCACTTGTGTTTGCTAAGGGCTCTAATGTGCACGGCAGGGAGAGCTAATTGTATTTGCATCTAAATGGGAGTTGTAATTCTCATCAAGCGCAGATGGAGGCCGAAGCGCCGTGTGTCTTTATAAGGGCAAGATTCTGTGACAAAGCCCCCTCTGCCTCCAGATTACAATGGCACCATGACCATATTTATTCTATTAACTAGCAGCCGGCTTAGATTTCTATTTTTGCTCTTTCAAGCAAACTAGCCCAGCTTTTTGCGCTCGTCGCAGCTTTAAGCGGCCTGTCTCCGGCTTTTCGTTTTTAGTACACATTTAGAAATGGACGTTTACTCTTTTTGTGTTTTTATTGCAACCGTTACTGTTTTGACAGTGTCCTAGAACTGTTGAGTAAGGTGAATATGGTGAGGATGAACAGTTTGTAGTGCGTGGATGAGGTTATTTAATATGGCTGAAGTGGCCTGTGTTTATGTAAAGATTAAGGGTAAATGGCCTCTAATTGTGCGATTTATTTCCTTTAGTTTTGCCGAGTGATTGTTATTGCATCTGAGTATATGAAAGAGACAGTGTTCCTGGTGGTCAGAGAGCTCCACAGCAAAATGTGGAGCTGTTTTTTTGAAGCTAACCGCAGCTTTTGACATTTATTATGAATGTGGGATTGAGACAAGATGGCTTTGTTGCGTACAGAGGTGGAGAAAGCCCGTTCCGTGTTCGTATAAGATGGTGGCTGGCTTTCTGCTGTGGTCAACGCATCACGGTCCTCTATAGGTTCCTGGCATGATACATGAAATGTGGTGTGAGAACCACAGGCATCTACTTAAAGAGACAGTGGTACTGAGGGAAACCCAGACATAGATTTATGCTTATCAGGAACTCGTCGTGACTTGTGCCAAATGTTTAATTTGCTGTGACACAGAGTACAGAAGACAAAACACATGACATGTTTACTGCGTTTACAGCTTTGAGGTTTCCCAATTAAACACATTTGGAAATTGGTTTTGGTTTTTACTTGTGCACGCTGTTTTTCATTTGACTTTTTGTTGTTTTTTTATATAGAAGCCCAAGGTACTAAACAAATTTGTGTTTTATTTTATTTTATTTTTTATCATTAAAATGTTATCGTTAATTTGGTAACACTTTAGTATAGGGACCAGTTCTCACTATTAACTAGTTGCTTATTAGCATGCCTATTGATAACATATTGGCTGTTTGTTAGTGCTTATAAAGCACATATTCTGCAAGACCATATTTTACATCCTACACAATACCTAATACCTATGGCAAAAGTCATAGTTAATGGTTTGTTAATAGCGAAAATTGGACCTTAAAATAAAGTGTGGCCATTAATTTAGATAACAAATTAGATAAATAAAGCTTTTTTTGTAACCTTTGTTTTACCCCTAGTTTTGGGTAAAGACACAGTAGTACTAAATATAAGGGCAAAATAGGCATATACAATATGCAAATATTTTTATCAGCAATGTATTTTATGAGCAACATGAAAGTGTATAGTAATACAAAATAAGCACTATTTTTGCTTTATCTAATCACTTTTAGTTTTTTCCTTTCATTTAACTGCTAGTCTTGAGGCTATGTTAGTGCAGGCATATTTTATAAATTAATATCCATTGTGACTGGGGCAGTCAGTGTGTGCCTTTTTTCTTTAGTATAAATCTGTTCTCTTTTATTTCTGGTAAACAACTGCAGTAAAGGTATTAGAATTTCGTCCTCCTTTGCCATAACAATATTTTGTCTGTCTTTCTTTTTTTCAGATACTGAAAATAAATTAATCACCCTGAAAAAAAAAGGAAAAAAGAAAATTAAGCTTTTTTTCCTCTCTGAATAAAATAATAATTAAAAATAAAAATAAAAAGGATTGTTATTACCTTTAAAAATCTGCAAGATAAAAAAAAAATACTTCACAGTCAATCTTTTGTCATCGCACATGATGATCTGGTTGATAAGTACAATTTTTCAGTGCATATAGTAGACACGTTTAGTGAAGGTGTTGGTGTTTTAAGCGGAAAGAAAGAAAAAAATCAAAAGGGCCTATAGCCTTGTTGTACCCTATTGTCTTGTATTTTGGCCACAGGCTACGTGAGTGACTGAGAGATCAGAGATGGCACAGCAGACTTGTGGTATAAGTGAAATTCTTCTGTTGTGTTTTATGGAAATTTCAGTGTTTTTCT